CAATACTATAATATAGATACTATACATAGATACTATAATTTGCTGGTTGCTTTTCCAAAGCTAGATGCAGTTTCTAGGTATTTTAAACCGGCACTTCGGCTTAATTCAGACTTTAAAAAGCTGTTGTATGATTTGCAGGTACTCCCCAGAGCAGCTTGCGGGACAGAGAATCAGCGTGTTCTCATATGGCTCTGGTTTTGCTGCTACCCTGTATTCCATCAGGGTCACACAGGATGCCACTCCTGGTGAGTGACTGGAGGTGATGTCAGCTGCCTCCTGTGCTCAGCTTGCTCTTGCTGCCCTGTTACACAATCCCCTAGCAGTGCAGGGGCAGTGCCTTAATGGCAGCAGTGCTACACTGAGAATGTCCAGCTCCAGGGAGCGTTTACATGTCGTCTTGAGCAAATAATAGTCTTCAAATTCTGTTTAATGTTTTGAGTTGGTAATTGGGAATATTTTTAAATGACTAATACTTCAGATTCTGTAATGGAAATTTTGAATAGGCTTGAAATGTTCACATACTAGTGTGCAGTTCTCAGTACTGACTCTACCTTACATGATGGTTCTATATTGCAGGTTCTGCACTGGACAAAATCACCACCAGCCTTTCTGATCTCAAAACAAGGCTTGACTCAAGGAAATGTATTGCACCTGATGTCTTTGCTGAAAACATGAAGCTCAGACAGGAAACACATCATTTGGGTAAGAAACCTAGTAAATGTCAATCATTTCTAGTCCTAGAGCAAAATGCTTATCACTTAATCCACCTGACTTAGAATGATTAGGGTGTAGAATGAAGGAACTGTCCAACCCTTTCTGCTTCTGAGTAGCTTGTGTTCATTAAGCCCATGTCTGAAGTAAAAATGCTGACTTATTTTTTTCTCAGTGCATCCAATCTGCAAAGGCCTGTGTTGGGTAAGACTCTTACCAGGAAACAACTAACAATGTGTTACTCCTTTTCTTACAGCTAATTATATTCCACAGTGTTCAGTCGAGGATCTCTTTGAAGGAACATGGTACCTTGTGCGTGTGGATGAAAAACACAGGAGAACTTACGCCCGGCGCCCACTCATGAGTGATGGACCTCTGGAAGCAAGAGTTGGAGTTGTCCACCCAGGCATTGTTCATGAGGTGAACACTCAGCACTCTTTTAAAGTTTGATGTAAATGGTGCAACCATTTACATGTTTGTCTTAGCATGTGCATGTATGTTAAGAGGAAGTGGTTTTAGGAGTTACATTGAATACTTTGTTAACATGTGTAACACAAGCCAGAAGTAAAAAGTTGGAACTGCAATTTAAAAAAGTACATTTCATCATAAAAAGAATGAAACTGCACAAGAATGAAAGAACAAACTGTCTCTTCTCACACAGTCTGTTTGCATGAAGCATGACCAATTTGATTGACTTAAGGCCAAGCCGTCCATTGTAGCATGAATGTTGTTTGATAGTTGGACTAGCCGTGAAGTATGAATGTCTATGAACTAGAAAACTGTATTTAATGTTTTTTTTCCCTTCTTCTTAGCACATCCCAAGCCCTGCTAAGAAAGTGCCAAGAATCCCTGCAACAACAGAATCTGAAGGCGTTACTGTCGCCATTTCCAATGGGGAGCATTAAGATACCTCTGTGAGGTGGGGAAAAGAAATGAGGTGTGAGGGCAGGGTGAGAGAGAGAGAAAAAGGATTGCAGTAACACTGAAGTTTCAGTGTACAGTAGTACTTAATTGGAGCATGAAAAAACTTATTTAGGCTCCTTGAAAAAAATCATCATAATATGGTGTGCTGATTTTATAGTATTTTCAGAACACTAAAATCAGGAGTATATTGGAGATAGAGGGACTTGCCAGGTGCTTTGGGGATTCCTTAACATATCTGAGCTTTTTTAATTGCTGAGAAGTAGCTGTAGTCTATTACAAAGTCTTCGTACACAGAAAGGAAGAAAAAAAAGGAATCTTCTGCCTGCTCTTCCATGTCAAATGACTTGAAACCTACACTGTTAACTTCTACTAGTACTCAAGTGTGTGCAAAACAGTACAAGCTTTTAATGTTAGGGTTCTCAGTGCCTTGACAATAAGCAGTCAACCTTTTGAATACTGCAATTCTCTTTCACTTTGTCACCTTCCCTTTCATCTCCTAGTCTGCCTCCCATCACCCCATTGCTTTGGGACAGGCATAGAACCAAGAACATCCGTTGCTGGAATAGAATCTCTCTTCCCTGTCAAAGTGACTGGATCAAGAACAGCTAGGCTGACAAGTGGATTTCTTAGAAGAAACTCTGTGATCCACTGTGTTAGTTACTATGTAATTCCTCCTAACATCTTATGTGTTTTATACCTGCATTTTAAGTTACAGGAGACTGAGAGGAAAGATGAGGAAGGAGGGAGGTAGTAAATTTTTTATTCTATAGAAAGGGGATAATTGATTTGGCATCATAATGAATCCATTATGTTTAGTAGAATATCCAAGACAGCAGAATTTTCAAATAAAATTTACATCTATTGTGGAGCTGTTTTAATTGGCAAACAAAGGAAGAGAGTGATGCTCATCACTTTGTCTGGAACTCTAGCCTATTAGTTGTCTTTATATAATACATTTCCAAAATACTCTTTCTAGCTTTGAATTTGGCTTTGTACTTTGAAGTCCTTCTCACTATAATACTGTAATACTGTAGGAGTGGAAACTTTTATTTCTTTCCCCCCTTCCCCAACGTGCAAGCTAAAACTATCCATTTTGCAAGCAGTAGATAGATATACAGTGGTTATGGGGAGTCCATTCTGGTAGATTTTTAAAGCCCAGATTGGAAATGAACTATGATATGAGCCTTTTAAGCTTGTAATATATATATATATACATACATATATATATATATTTAAGTTGAGCTAATGTACAGAATGAAGTTTCATTGAATTTATTTCTTTGCTAATTCTACAAAGCTACATTATCTAATATAAAGTAGCAAAAAATGATTCCTGTTAGTTACATTTTTTTGTGTGTGTGTAATGAAGTGTTTGTATTACCTGTCACTCACTAGGATTTGATAACTTGCTGTATTTGTACAGTCAAGCCTTGGTAAAATAGTTGTTTATTATAAATTGATGAATACTAATCTGTTTGTTCTGCTGAAAATGATGGAGCAATGCATGATGATAGTGTTTGCAAGTATTTTGGTTTAGATTGCCGTCATGAAACTTAACCTTGGCATCTGTAAAACAAACTGTCATGGAACAAAGTCCATTGCTGGCAGTGGACAAGCCAAGAAGGGAGCTACTGGCACGGGCCTCACAGGTCTGTGAGGCTGATCCTTTATTAAAATAAAGTTTGAAATATTTGAAACCTGTTGGAGTAGTGCTGACTTGCTGATTTTTTAGGATGGATTTCTTTTTCTTTAACAGGAAGGATGAAGCTGGCTCTGGTAAAAACCTGAATTTGTGGGTTCACAAGCTGTGTGGACATTCTTAGTATCATTCCACTACGAAAGTAGGAAAATAGTTGCTTACGCTGATGTCAAACAATTTTATCAGGGCCATGTTTCAAGATAACTTAAAATGCTTTTATATGGAAATTGTTTTAGAGTGGAGGAATTAATACCCACTTTATGAAATGGAATTAATTTTAATTACTGTTTTATAAAAATGGTTATCATTTTATTACCCTCAGAAATTTTTTGATGGAGGCTTGGCTCTTGCTTTATACACACCTGAGCCTCACTGAGTCCAGTTTCCCATGCGTGACCTTTCAGAGTCATTCCATTGCTCATTTATATTAATTATTCCCTCTAAAGTGAAATGATTGTCTCACTGGTGTCAAACGGATAAGGCATCTTGCCTTTAAATGTGAAAGCACCAGCTGTACCTGTGTACACCTTGTGTCAGGTACCTTACCTTAACTAAACTTACAGGTTCTACCTCTTCTACCTCTTATCTTAGTCATGTTAGCTGTCCCTGTTCAGAGAACAGCTGCCATACTCGCCTTTTGAACTGGAGCTGATGCTGTTAAAAGATCTAAGCATAGAAAAGCAACTAAAGATGAAAATAAGAGCATCTGCACTTTGGTGATGCTCAGAACAGCTGGAGCTGTCAGACTGTCCAGCTTTCAACTTGCGGTGATCAAGTGTCAGAATCAGCTTTGCAACAGCTTTGGTTGCCAAAGCAGGATGGCAGGAGTGAGGACAAGCCTGTAATGCTCAGTGAATATAAGGAGATCTTGCTGCTGCTTTCATTCAGCTACTGATAGCAAGGGCTAAGGCAGGGAACTAAAAACTACATGATTTTAGATCATGCTTAAATCTTTCTTTATTGGAGTGCAGCTGGAGTCCAAGCAGTTTCAGACTGGCAGAATCGTGCAAGCAGTGGAAGGCATCAGAAGGGTGATTGATGGTAGCCCAACCAGTCAGGCACCCACATGTGCAGAGTTAAAAGTACTGAATCCTGATTTGTACTGTCATCCTGAATGTCTTCTGGAGTCATGACAAGTTGGGAGCTGCTGCCAACAACAGCTTTGATGTTTCTTGAAAGAAAACACTTTTTAAAAATTAACTTGCTAAATTTGATGAGGAAGCTCAAAAGCAGAATTTGCAATTGTTTAGATTATAGTCTGGTCTCTGCTTAAATTTAGTTCTCTGCCAAAACTGTCCTGGTTTGCAGTGGTAAAGCTGTGTTGAGCTTAGGTACAGCTTTTCAGAAGTTAGCTGTTACGTGCCTGTGAGAGAATCTCTCAAATGGGTTAAGTGCAGTAGCATGGCTTTATTAAACGATCCCCTCCAGTCATTATCTTTTTCAATTACTGGGTTCTTGCACTGGCTATACCAAGTGTCTGGAGAAAGAATCAAACAAATGCACGAGAGCTCTGTTTTTGAATGCTTCACTGTCAGTTGAGAAATACAAAGAAAATGAGGCATTTTTGGTTTATTCAAAAATTACAAAAAAAACTAACACTACAGCTTAAGGATAAGTGAATAATCCCCTTCATCAAATGTGCTGGGCATAAAGCCTGCAGTGCAATTTTATAAAATAGAACACAGCTTGGATGTGTGTTTAATGCCACTATAAGAAGTGATTCCGTTCCTCGAATCTTCTTCTTTTGGATCTGGCTGGGACATGATGGGAACAGATTCCAGTGCCCTTTTCTTCTGTACTCTGTGCAGCACAATTCTGTAGACCCCCGTTATGGAGCTGCGTGCGTCTCTTCCCTGGTTGTTTTGAATGTGCTGCTCTGTGATTCCCAGATCTTCCAGAATATTTTTCACTTCCATTTCTTCTTCTTTGAGTGTGCTGATGTCTGATAAATACTTTGGATCCAGTTTAAATGTCTGTAAAGGTTTGGGGAACTGTATTCCTTGCATCCACTCACTGTTCATAATCAGTTTGACAGAGTATCGCTTGGTTGGTACTGGCTGAAGGACTCCTTTTATCAGTTTCTGGCAATTTTCTGAGAGGCAGGGAGGCAAAGTGTATGTCCCTTCAAGAATGCACTTTTTCAGTTTCCCTACTGTATCTGCCCGGAATGGCATGCTGCCTGTCATCATGAAGTATAAGAGGATTCCCAGTGCCCAGATGTCTACATAAATGCCAATATAGTTTTCATCTCGGAAGAGTTCAGGAGCAGCGTAAGGAGGAGAGCCACAGAAAGTTTTTAAAGTTTCATCTCTTCTACTTACTGTGCTGAATCCAAAGTCTCCCACCTTAACACAGGTGTTACTGGTATAGAAGACGTTTTCTGCTTTCAGGTCCCGGTGAATGATATTATTGTCATGCTGTGGAAGAAGAGGAAAAGTTGGTATCAGTTTGTTCCTAGGAAAGTTCTCAATGGCTACCTCTAATTGGTTAATTGCCCTGAAGGAGAAAGGGAGAGCTCTTGGGCAAATTCAGAAACTAGTATTGCAGTTGGAAAAGTATTAAACAAATTTAACTTTATTCTCCAAGGATACAAAAACAATTAAGTAGAGAGAGAAGAAGGATGCTGGGATTTTTTAAGCACAGCACTCTCAACTTGTTAACTAATAGCAACTATTTTCATGAAGCAAATGTGTGAGGGCAGCATGGCTAATCCTAGACATCTTCATGTGCAAAATCAGTATTTTTTTAGGGTTCACAGCACTTGTTTTTGCAGTTACTACGTGTAACTTACAGATTTAAATATTTAGTTCACCAATTGAATGTTATCCCAGATAAAGTAAGAAATTTGCTACCATTACATCTTGTGATCTAATGTCCTATGAGGAACTGGTGGTGGCAGGAGAAAAGGACCACAGATTTGGGCTTCAAAGTACTTCATGTTGCAGGATAACCAAGTTTAGTGGTGTTCTAGTTTTAGAAATCTATAATACATACACCATAACTTCTACTTTTTTCCCTGGGAAGTGCCAGTAGTAGCTAAGGACTCAAACTGAATTTGCTCTGCTTAGTCATGACATATCTGTCCTGATTAAGTAAGAGTTCAGCTTAATCTTTGGAATAACTAGAAGCAATGGATGAGCGCACTCTGCCTTATCCTTTGGAGTAACATCATACAGTTTCTGGAGGCAATAAAGAAACCCTTTGGCATCCTATTTCATCTCTAATCTGTAACAGCCAGAGATCCTTAGTCCTTGGGAACTGGCAGCAGGGAGACAGGATTTATGTAACCTGGATGTGATGGCTTAGCACAAGTGAAATGTGCAGAAGTCCCAATGTACAAATGAAGAGGTTGGCCAGCCTGATAGTCTATGTTTAATTCCAAGAAATAGACGTGGCGTAATTTTGAAATGTAAATTCAGTTCCTGTAGCCTGTCCTATAAAGTGTTGAAGCTAATCCACTACTTAAAGCACATACGATCGTTTCTTCAAAATACATAAGAAATGGTTGCTGTTTATCTAAGGCACGAGTAGTGTGTGATACAGACTCTAGACGTCTGACCTGAGAACACTCTTTTTTCTGACTTTGCCAGAAACTCTTACGTGGCAAGGAGGACAGGAGCCACCGGAGGGCAGCCTGAGCCAATTTTAATGAATGCTGCTTCTCAGACTTGTAGAACAGTTCTCCGTGTTTTTATTTTTTTGAAGTAGCTGTAATTACTCTGCAAGGTTTAGAAGTACTGAAGTACATCTTGCTTCGATTTGCTCCTTTTCTTCCTTGACAAGATGCTTTGGTCTCTACACAAATAGCATCATCCTGAGTGTATATACTGAAGACTAAACAAGAAGTGATTTGTTGGGTGTTAACCTCAGAGATTTGCAGTGAAGTGAGGACCGGGAATTGGCTGTCTTTAAGTGACAGATTCCCACATTCATTTATAAGCAAGCCGGATGTTTGCAACACCTAACCAGCCTCTGAAAGCGGAAGAGTGACTGATCCTATGTTTTGAAACGGGGAGGGAAGAAACGAAGCTTTGTTCACTGGTGCCCACAGCACATTAGAGCAAACAGAACACTGGTGTTAAAAGGGTGATTCCCCACCAGGTGTTTCTAGTTCAGTCTCCTCCCAAAAGCTGTCAACAGAGAGGCAGTAACTTGAGGTGGACGTGAAAACCTTCAGATACCTTTAACACAGTTCTTCTATAGCTGTTTTGCTTTTCAGAAATGTGGGCCTGAAATTTTGGGTAAATCTACTGTTGAAAGTCAAAAGAAATATCCACAAAATTGTGTAGTGAGAGCAGCATGTCTGTGTATGAGCAACTTACCATGTGCTTCACAGCAGACACAATCTGGGAGAAGATTATTTTACACTCTGTTTCTAGCAGCTTTCCTTCTGTACTAATTTTAGTGAAGAGCTCCCCACCTCCTGCGTACTCCATCACCAGGTGCAGTTTTGAGAGTGTCTCCACCACTTCATACAGCCTGATGATATTTGGGTGGTGCAGCTTTTCCATGCTGGATATCTCACGAGACAGCAAACGTTGAGTCTTCCGGTCTAGCTTTGTCTTGTCCAAAATCTTTATTGCAACTTTCTCTGAGAAGAAGAACATTTTTTTCCGTGTTGTTAATGCAATAGTACAAACGGTAATACTATTTACACACAACAATGCTTGGTTGTAGAAGTGTAATAAAATTTCACCTCATCAATGTAAACTAAGCTGCAGGGGCCTACTAAGCCCTGCAACCTTTCACACAACCCCTGCCCCCTTCTGTCTACAATATCCTGCTCACTACTGGGGTAACTGAGGGCTGGTAGAGTATTCCAAGGGCTGATCAAATGGTCTGCTGCTTTGATAGGCTAATACATGTCTGAAGGTACAGCAGCTGCTTTTGGTGTTCACTGCTGGTAGAGAAAGTCTGCGCTTTTGTTGTTAACTCAGAGCTCCTCAGATGAGCCAGGTACTTGGGGACTATTGGAGGTGCAAAATTTGTGTGCCTTATTTCCGACCAGACAGACTAACTTGTGGGGAATTTAGAGGCTTTGGCTATTTTATTCTGAGCAGTGAAGTAGAGTAAGTCACTGGGATCCTGTAAGACAGCAAATCTGGCATATGCTGTTCTGGTAATGCAAAGCCGCAGTTAAGTCCTACATGTTCCTAGAAGCCTACATGCTGAAGCCAAAGGCCCCAAAACACATATATATATATCTGCAGCTGCACCACATCATCAGGGTAGCTCAGAGCAGTATGAATAGGTCAATCACAGTTGCCCTTATGTTCTTTTATTAGTCTGTAGGCTACAGCTTTTGTCTTTACCCTTCTGAATACAGCTGGTATTTGAAGGATTAGTCTGGTTAAAACAGGTTTACAGTGGCTTTGTATAGCTTGTCAGGACAGCAAAATTAAAATGGATCGCAGCAATAAAAACAGCTATTTATTCCTGGGAAGAAGGGATTCTTGGTTGTTCGAGGGTTTTTTCCCTCAGGACTATCTTAGCCAAACAATCACAGATTTCTTAATAATTTATCACTTTAAATAATTTTTTTTAAAAATTCTTTACCTTAGTTTTTAGTAAATAGGAATAAATTAGAAAAAAAAGGGTATTGCTCACTTGTTGCTATAAGAAAAGAGTGAGAAGGCTATTACATTTTTACACATGTTCAGATATAAAACCATTCAAGTTTCTACTGAATGTTACCAAGTTTTAACTCAAATTTAGTATTTCAACATACATAAAGGAATGTTAAGGATACTTACACATGTGTCTGTACAGATCAAGAAAATTCCATGTTTGGTATATTTACATTTTTTAATATGATACTTATATCAATTGATCTCCCTACTGAAGTGCAGCAGATGCTTGAAGCACATGTGGTTCTTGTGGTGGAAGATGCTGAATTATCCCTTGATGTGCCTGTTTTTGGGAGTCTGTACTGAGTACACTGTGCTGTCCTGGGCACACTGCTTCTCTCTGACCTGAGGAAGAGCCCCTCAGGGAAGCAGGCACCTCCTGTGTGGTGTGGAGGTGGATGAACCAGGAGGAAACGACAGCAGCTGCTGTCAGTGACGCTGGCAGCGCTCTGACTGCTGACCTAGTGAGAGACCTTTGTCATGTTCATAGCACACTGATCTCCTAAATCAAGGGGAAAGTGCAGCAGCTTGTAGTAGGTTATATGTGCACATCTAAATGCTTACAACTCTTACAATCTTAACCATGCAACTTCATCATTACATCTTGATCTATAGAAGCTGGGGACCTTTGGGCTTTAAAATCAAATCTTCTAGGTTAATGTTTTTCCCTTTCATTTTGCTCTACTTTTCCTCCTGGTAAGTTTCCCTGGAAAGTTTTAAAAGGAAAGAGGAGGGGGAAAAAACGGTTTAGAACTGAAAAGCCTGATCCTACCCAACCACCACCATAAAACAGGACCAAGCTCCTTTAAATCTACATCATTGCAGTTGCTAATGCATGATGTGCAAAGAAACCCAGCCCACCTTGAGTACAAAAAATCTAACACCTTCCTTTTCTTTCTTTTCTTCCTTTCTGCTTCCAAACAATGCTTGGTTTACATATCCTCTATTACTCTTGCTTAGCAGCTGTGCTGAACAGAAGGACATTTTTAGCAGGCAGCTTATTTACCAAAGTAATTTAAAAAAGAGTTGAAAGAGATTTTGATTGACTATATGCAGTGTTTGAGGTTTGAAAGTGCTAGTGAAGTCTTAGTAAGAGAAACTAGGAAAGGGTTGAGAAATAATTTCAGGAAGAAATAGTGTATGCTGTGATGGCTGAAGGAAAAAAATGCAAACAAAACTAAGTTAAAATTGCTTTTATAAAAAAGGCAACCTGGGTGCCTGGACGTTCCTGCTTTTGCAACTGGTGTCACATTAGACAGACTTCTTACTAGCTATAAATTTCGGATGCTCTTAATTGCTTCTATTCAGCTTTGCTCTCACACCTCCTTTGTCAGCTGGAAGGCTTGTAAAATAAAAGTCATACAGGGCTTACTTAACAGTCCTCAGCAAGAAAACTCCATGAATTTCTGGAGAAAATCTCAGCCAAAATTCAGGTTAAAAGAGTGGGCAAAGCTGCTGAATAACACAACACACATAGAAACATAAATCAGAAAACATCTCTGAGATCATGAAGTCCAGCCTGTCAAGCCATTGACATTGTCCCTGTATGGCACATCTACACATCTTTTAAGTATCTCCAGGGATGGTTCACTGTGGAGCCCATTCCAAGGCCTGACCACCCCTGAGGGATAGAAATTTTTCCTAATGTCCAACCTAAACCCCGACTTTTCCTGGCACCATTTGAGGCCATTTCCTCTTATTCTGTCCCTTGCTACCTGGGAGAAGAGACCCCACCTGGCTACAGTCTCCTGTCAAGCAGTTGTATGGAGTGATAAGGTCTCCCCTGAGCTTCCTTTCCTGGAAGCTGAACACCCACAGCTCCCTCAGCTGCTCCTCACAGGACTGGTGCTGCAGAGCCTTCCCCAGTTCTGTTCCCAGTTCTGTTGACCTCTGGACTCTTCAGCAGTTCAAAGTCTCTCTTGTAGTGAAGAGTCCATAAAAAATGAAATACAGCATTCGAGGTGTGGCCTCAGCAGTGCCCAGCACAGGGGGACAATCCCTGCCCTGCTCCTGCTGGCCACACTATTGCTGATCCAGCCCAGGATGCCATTGGCCTTCTTGGCCACCTGGGCACACCCTGGCTCATGGTCAGTCACTGTCACCAGCACCCCCAGCTCCTTTCCAGCCACTCTGTGCCAGCCTGTGGCACTGCCTGGGGTTGTTGTGACCCAAGGGCAGGACCTGGCACTTGGCCTTGTTGAACCTCACACCATTGGCCTCAGCCATGATCCAGCCTGTCCAGATCCCTGTGCAGAGCCTTCCTGCCCTCCAGCACATCAACACTCCCACCTAATGTGCTGTCACCTGCAAACTGACTGACATTAATCAGGGCTGGTCCCAATACTGAGCCCTGTGGAATTCTGTTGGTGACTAGCCCCAGATGGATATAACTCCATTCAGCACCACTCCCTGGCTCCAGCCATCCTGCTTGTTATCCAGTGAAGACTGCACCTGTCCAAGCCATGGGACATGGTGTCCACATCATAGCACCAAAGATTCTTCTGTTTTCTAAACAACCAAGACAGTCCTTGTGAGGGAAACAGGGCTCATCATCCAGTATGATCCTGAAATTTTTTCGCCCTCTCTCTCTCTCTCTCTCTCTCTCTCTCTCTCTCATGTGTCTTGCTGCAAGAAATCACTAGGGCAACAGAAAAGCACATGTATGTAATTGTTAAAAATGCTCATCATAGTAAAAAACAAAATTAATTGCTTCCTCTTTTGATACAGGATGATACAGGAGAGAGATCATATTAAAACTGGCAGTAACTGAAGAGCTGAACAGCCCTCTGACACATACACCACAGAGACCAGAACAGCATTAATGATGAAGCCCTTTTATTTATATCATCAGATTAAAAAAAACCTTGCACTCATTAACACTGTGCAGGAACATAATTTCATTGCCAACACAACAATGTGTATTTATTGCAAAAAGCAGAATCCTCTTTGGTGGTGCTGAGTGTATATACATGAATGCCTATGTGCATGTTCCTTTTGTTCTGTCCATGCACCGTATTTCATTAGCACAGATAAACTCACAGGCAGAGATGAGTCAGAAAATATTTATCTTTCATTCTTCCTTCCTCATGACAGTTACAAACTTAGCATCAATAAACCAACTCCCTTTCCAGTGAATATTTTAACCAAAAAAAAAGTTAAAAACAATCAAAAGAAAAATAATTTGAGAGATTTCTGTTGAAAAATAATGTTTTCCAGAAAAAGAAAATGTACAGTTTTGGATTTGGTATTCAGTTTGTCTGTGCTTACTGTATTCACTAAAGTTCAAAATTTTTCCATCAGCTCTATTCAGATACTAAAGCAACCTGTTACCTAAATAAGTTCAGCAAAGGGTTAATCCAGATCAAATTTCTAACTGCCTTTCATTAACATTCCTTGTGCTCCCAGTACAGGAGTAGCATTTCCTCCAAAAGTAAGCACAAAACAGTTACCTCAGGAAGAAAAAGAAATATCACAGAAGAGGAAACAACTTGTAGGCCAGGTAGAACAGAGATGCTTTTCTGAAACAAGACCAGAAACTCAACACCCAGTTAAAGCAACCCTTGGGTATTGGCAGGCTTAAATGTGAAAAATTAAGTACCATCGGGTTCTCCATTTAGATTCCCAGTGCAGCAACTGCTGCACCAGAGGGATAATTGTGAGCTTTCACCCCTCTTAAATCTGGGCTGGAAAAGGTGATTAGAGAAAATAACAGCAGGTAATACAGTTTTGGGGTATATCTCGTTCTCTCACCTGTAGGATGATGAAGAGAAGGGGAGTCAATCAAACTGAGAAGTAAAGATGGTAAGAAGAAAGGCAAGATAGTAGTGTACAAAGATACAGAGAAAACTAGTCACCCTGATGGAAAACAACGACAATTTCTATTATTGTCAGACAAAGGCAGAAGAAGAAACAGGACAGTTGATGACAAGTTCTTAGTTACACCTTATGACTGGAGTGTCCACTGCAGTTACCTAGCCCTTCTAGTCCTTCCTAGAAGCAGCAGATAGGGTGCTTTGTAAAATTAAAACTAGAAAAATAACTGACAATTCAACACAAACACCAGCTTGGCCATACCAGAGCTTGTTCTTCCCACACCTATAACCCCATCCCAGCTTTTTACAGTAAAGAACCATCTGCAAATGAATCACTTAAGTGGGCATAGCATTTCTAACCAAAATTACCATATCCAAATACAATCTTTTGTCCATACTAGTAACATTTGTGATGAAACAAAGGTAGCCTTGCTATCTCTGGCTGCAGGCAGGAGCATGCCAAGGCTGCTGTCCTGGGCATTCCTCACCTGTATCCCTGCAGACCAGGTGCTGGGGTAGGGAAGAGGCTGGATGGACAGGGGAGGTTATAGGAGGGGACACAATACCACACTTCAAAGTGTGGAGTGTTTGAGCCATGGGATAAGAACTGTTAACTCCATGAAGTGCAGCAATGAACTCCTCCTGTAACAGCTGCCATGTAGAGAAAATGCTTCTGGTTTCTTTAAAGCCTAATACAACCCTGAGCATTTATGTGTGACCTTACAGATTAACTCAAAACCATTTTAAAAATGTTTTTTAAAAATTTTTAAAATACACACACACATACACACAACTACACACACACTCTATATGTGTATTTAAGGTTCATACAACATCCTTCTTCCCATAGGACACCATTTAGGTCACTCAGCATTCAATGGTGCCTACCTTTGGTTAGGGAATGAATTCCAAGCTTCACTTGTGAGAAATTCCCACTTCCTATTTCTCCTCTGACTCGATAGAAGGCAATTCTCTTTCCGAGGGTTAATTCTTTCACCACTTTTTCATTATGAGACATATCCTGCATTAGTTTTTCAAATGGGGTCAGCCTGTGCTGCTGGCCCTCTTCATCTCCTCCATGGCACTCCGAGTGCCCATCGTCTTCTCTGCTGTCCTCGTGATGCCACCTGGAACTGCGGTATTTTCCAAGACTTCCTTCATTCACATATCCTGTTGTCATAGTCTATAGGGTAATTACTTCCCCATTTAACAAGATGTCCTGATAAGTCTAAATGAAGTAATTTTGTATGAATATGCAATCCTGCATATTATGGACAAATGCAGCAAAAGAAAAAAAATAGCAGCTTACAGAAAATCCAGACTAGTTTGAAAATTTGTTCAAAACCAAATCTGGCACATCTACGTATTGCATCTCCTGTTCAAAATCAGAGATAAAACTGGAAGCTGTATACATCCATTCCTCACTAACAGAGTTGGTGTGTCAGGATCTTCAGCTGCAAGGTAAAAGAGGCTTTGCAATTAAAACTGCAAACTTTGAGCAAGAAAGCGGCCAGGTGGTCACTGTCTATTGCAGTACATTTGACACATGCAACATATTTGACACAAATATTCAGATTTTAGCTTGATCCTTTGAGAACTAACTTGATAAATAAAGGTCAAACAGAAAGCTGATTAACTGCTCCAAATAACTCCAGATACTTCTAGCTAATTTTGAATAGCTGACCTTAAGAGTGTAGCTCTCCTTGATTCTGGTAAAAGTCCAAAAGCTGACTGTAGGGATTGCCTTTGATTCATTCTTCAGCCTGTGAGCTTGTCACTGTACCTTGGAAATGTCACTGTGTGAGGAAGCCTTGCTGTAAAAAGTATGCTGCCCCTCTGTTTCTTTTCCATGGTGTGTTCAACAAAGCAACTGATTCTGGAAGATGACAGGAAAAGCATAATCTGCGCACCAGGCAAAAGAAATGCTGCGCCTCAGTATCCCTGCAGTCACATGGCAGGACAATACAGGATTAAGTAACTGCAATGTCACGTTAACCCTCCTTTATTTAGATGAGCTTTCTTTAACGCCTTGAGCCTTCTCAAAATTTTGCCAGATGCGTGGTGTTCCTGAGCAGGCAGATGAAGAAAGTAATTAAAACCTTTACATAACAGCCATACACTTCACTGAATGACAGCATGACCCATACCATTTCACCAGTTTAACTCTGGCAGCACAGACATAGAAGTACTTACCCTAAATACACAAGCAACCGCTTACCTTTAAAGCAGCAGACCATTTTTTTCTTCTTTACCCTTCTCTTTTAACCTTGAAAGCCAGGAGTTGATTAGCAAATGCTGATCATGCAGCTGCACGCCTGAGGGTGGTGAGCTGGGCATGAGTGCTGAGACAGCGCAGGCAGTGGCACGCTCACCTCCCCTGCTCTCAGCCTGCAGCACATCCGACTGACTGACACGGGACACACCCGACTGCCAGGACACACGCACCAGACTGAGGGGGAGTGAATCAGACCAGTAACTCACCGCCTGAAGCTTAGGTAGACAGTTCACCTAAGGTGCCACACTAGCATGTGGCAGTAGGGCATGTGGCATTTGCCAGGTGCAGCTGCCCTCTAAACCCCCCTATCTCCTTCACGAGCAAGAGGAAGAGAGGTCAGAGGCATGACCTAAGGGCAAAGAAAAGGCAGCAGGTGATAGTTTCATTAAACGGGAGCTGGAGAGGGACAGAAGCACTGATCTGCTCCTTCAGAGAGGCCAAGGTGACTGACCCATGCTCTGGAACACTGCTCCCTGCCTTGAGATACATTGAAGAAATTTTGCAAATCACTTTACGTCTCTGTGCTGCGGTCAAGATGCTGACAGACAAACCTGTCCCGGGGGGAGGCAGAAAGCCTGGCTTTCCCTCAGTCTGTGACTCTCTCTGACACTTCTCTAAACCAGAGAAGTGACACACTTACTGTGTGTGCTGCAAACTTAAGGGCTGATGCAATTTGTAACTGGAACAGAGAGAGAATTTACTATTTCCATAATGCCTTTGTTACTCTTTTTGGCTTATTCATATTTGAAGAAAAGGGCCATTTTCATGGTTGGCAGAAACTTAAAATAATACATAATCGTATTATTCTCTGGATCTAAATAGGGTGAAATTCCTAATAAATACTGTACATGCACATATAGCTAATGGCCAAATCCTGATAGTCTTATTAGGGAAGATACCAAGTAACAACTGAGAAAATTCTTCAATATTCTCCCACCAAACCACTCTTTCTTAGCACCAAATGTTCCCCCAGTATTTTATTATTTTATACCTAGGAAGAAAAAATCTATGTGGAAGCACACCCCATCCCCAGGCAAACCAAAAAAACCCAAGCCTCACACCTTTACATTCTCTTTTTCCTCCATTTGGGAAAAGGACAATTTCCTTCAGGATTGCCTGAATTCTGCCCCACAGGTTTTCTGTTTCTGTTTCACATCATAATTATAAAAGTATAGGTAATAAAAAACTCTTTATATGAAATGTGACTGTATTTCACAGTTTTAATGGTGGATGACACTCTAGAAGCAGGGAAGCCACTTCTCTGCTGTATAGTGCCATGGCAATTCAGAGGCAGAATTCTGGCCCTAACTCTGCTTTTTAATCTTGAAAACGGCAGCACAGATTGCCCATATGAAAAGCCTGGAAACTTCCATGAGCAGTGTCAGACATGCCATATACAAACTATAAACTACTATTAAACACGTCTTTAGTTGGGCAGCGACTTCATCACCACCAAATAGCTGTAACTTATGGCTATAACCTCCAGAGAGCCAGCTATGGACAATTCTGCTTCTGCAAAAGAATAAACACAGAACTACCACCATCTTCTGCAAAAATTACCAGTGCCCTTGCAGTTAACTGGCTGTACAGAAAAGGCTGACTGTGTAAGAAGGAGGATTTCCAAAACAAACTTGTGTAGACAAGTCCCTCCTGAATACATTCCATCAAGACACAGCAGGCAGCTAGCCCAGTCCATGTGAATCACAGAGACAAACCCAACGAGAATGCCAGAACCTTGTGGGGACAGAAGAGTCAAGAGAAAGGCAAAACTGCATTCAGGCATCAGCACACATCAGGTTCTTCCTGAATTGCTCCTGCAGAATTTCTCCTGGGGCTCAACATGCTCTTTTCTAGAGCACAGCCTACCATTAATCTCCCTTTCAGACTTGACGTGTAAGTGTCAACTCTGTAACCTCCTGGTACTTGGCCAGCTGGCTAGGTTTTCCCTGTCTTTTGAGATGAGCTATTTCAGTATTCCTGGTGTTAGCAGTATATATACCATCTATTTATGGCCTGCATTCCTTCCTGTAATCAAACCCAGCAAAATCTATCCTGATATCATACAAAAGGACACAGGCTGTAAAAGAAAATAATTTTAAGAGAGAAGTGAAAAACAAGGAAATCAGGAGTAATCCAAACACAGTGAAGAACCACAGATTTTTTTCTCCAGTGTGGCTGACTGGTGACCAGAAGAACTTCACAAGAATTTATCTGACCAAAGAATCACTTAAAAGAAAATAAAATAAGCAAGCAAAAGAAAACTGAAACCAAACCACTATAAAAAGCAAGACAAGATGGAGGGAACAAATGTATCAACTCTTTAAGACCCGTGCCAGCCTAACACTGTTGTTTTACCTTGTTTCTCAAACTGACATTCTCCTCCATTTCTAAGAAATGCTCAGGCTTCAGCTGCAGTCTCAATTTAAACCCTGCATCACAACTCCAAGGAAGTTCAGAAAGAAGGGAAAAATTATGCCAAGAAAGAGATCACTGAGTATACAGACTTGGGTTCCTAAAATCCCATTTTGACATATAGGTAAAAAGTGACCTGTTTTAAGAAGCTTTGAATGGGGCACATGAAAGCACAGAAGCAGCTAGACCAGTGCTCCGAGCACTGTGTTTTGCAAATTGGTCTCTTCCATTAAACCTGTCTTTCAGAAAGGCAAAAATCCACTCAAGCTTTGAGTGCTTAAACTGCTGCAGCTCCTATTAGAGTGAATGTGAAAAAAGTTACACTGCAGGGTCCCCTACCACTCAAACTGTCAAAATACCATATGGTTTTAAAGAGGATGTCACTGGATATTGCAACTCATTCACGAGAGTACCCTTTTCAGCCTCTCTGCTGTCTAGTCTGAGGAAATGAGGATTTTTAAGGTATTTCCCTAGGGTAGGGAATTAGTTCAATTTTTTAAAATTCCCTTGAAGAACAGCATGTCTCCTGCTTAGTAGATTATATGCACCATCCGCCAGCTCTGGAACAAATCTGAATTTAAAGTAGCAGGGATTTTTTTTTTTAAACTCATCTGCTAGAAAAATATCAACCCCATTTTTTAATCACAGCTTTGAATGCACAGTTGTTGCATGAAAATACCAACAACACTCCTGTGTATAGAAGACCTATCTTTTACAAAAGATTAGAGCCCAGCAGAACAGATCTGCAAGACCTGTAGTACAGATCACAGGTGACATAAAAGCTCTTCTGTGCAGACAGACACCACAGGGAAAGTAATAGCTCAACTTCTGTGCTTGTGCTCAAGAAAGATTGAGTGCAAGGCTGCTGCGGCCAAAGAAAGTCAGCATTTGTTCAAGGTTTGTCCTGAGCACATTTTTTTGATTTACATAAGAAATAAGACTCTCAGTCTTATTTCTGTGAATGCCAGAAAACAGAATGACTATATAAAATACAGCCCCGAGCTTCATAAGAATTGTTTAAAACCTCCCCAAACCCCAACCATTCAAAATACAAAATACAGCATAGTTACAGGCTGAACACAGACCTGTATGTTCCCAGCTCAGTTAGGAGGAAATACTAACAGGGCACTGACCATGGAGAACCTCCAGAAACTACTTGCTCTCTCTTCTCAGGCCCACATACCACCCATTTCTGTGCATCCCAGAATTACTACTGCAAGGTGGAACAGCATTCAGTTGGGCAGTTATTGTTTGATGAAAACCAGACATGAAGAACATAATTCTTATCACCTTCCTGCTGTGCCTGGGAATGCTCTGATAGCAGCCACAGCGATGAGCCTGGGCTGGCAGGTGGGCAGGGCAGCACTGCCAGCTCTGTGTGCTGCACTGGGCAGGCTGGAGCTACAGTGTGAACTCGAGCTGAAGGCACTGTGACCTCTAAGTGGTGGGAGCAGGTACCTCTCAAAGTGTCTGTGGCTGTGACTGTGCCACAGCAGGTACACACACCTCTGGAGGGATTATGGCCCACACTGGAGCAGGTGCACTTCAAAGGACTGTGCCGAGTGAATCTATGCTGCAGAAGGTAAAGTTCTGAGGAGACTGTGGCCCACAGATATGGCTCCACTTGATGCAGGTGCAGCCCTAAGGTACTGCAGACTATGGGTAAATCCAAGCTGGAGCAGGAGCACGGGGAGCACCTCATTACATTGTCAAACCATGACACATGTGACTTGATCATCTTAAGGGTCTTTACCAATATAAATGATTCTATTGTTCTTAGCCTAAGACATGGCATTGTTTCCCCACATAGGGAACATTAACATATGCAGTAATTCTGGCTGAAACAGAACATAAACACTTTCAAGACTTCAGTACAAAACCTCACTTACTGGCCACAGCACCAAGAAGGGAAGCAGGAAGAGATAACAAACAGTTGTACCGTACTCACTAATTCCTTACAATTAAAGGCCTCTTCTACATGCTGTTATCAAACAACAACAACAACAAAAAAATAAAAACAAAACAAAACAAAACAAAAAACCCCCAAGAAATTCTAGTATAAAAAGGGAAAAAAGAGCCAAAAAATATATACCCCTCTAGACTGGAACACACTAACTCTAGCCTGCAACTTAATTCTACAATTGTAACTTAGAGCAAAAGACAGGGAACTCTGCAACCTATTTAGAAGTTTAAAAAACCTGAGCCTTTCCTACTGAAGCAGAATACAGGTGGATGCTTACTCAAGTGT